GAACTGGAAGGGGCTGGTTGGTGTGAAGGCTCTTCACAAGGACTGGGGTTAACCTCTCCCCACACTTGCACGTGCACACCTGCACACAATACACACTCAGTCAAGTTCTCTGCCCTTGGGTAGCCGGCAGCACCGTTGGGATAAGTGGGTCTTTTTTATTCCCTGACACGAGTGCCTTCTCAGGGTCATTGGTGGGTCTCCAGGCTCCTCTTGGACCCATTCTTTCCCACTTTCCTTGTCTTCCTTCTTTACTCCCCCTCCCCACAAGAGCCCACCCTGGCCCTGCCTCTAGGGCCACACTCCATGTAAGTAGCCATGTTCTCTGATGCCCCGGCTGACTGCTAGGCCGAGTTTAGCAAGTCTTAAACCTCGTTTAATCCTCCAACAGTTCTGGGGGCTGGGGCTTATATTTTTCTCTATTCAAGACAGAGCTTGTGTACATGCTCACGTGACAGTGTGAGAGGGAGAGAGACACACAGAGAGAGAGAGAGCTCACCCTCCACGGGGTCCGGCCATGCTGTGTCCCCTTCCTCTCATCCTTCAGCCTATCAGAACCTGGGCGCTCACCCGTGTGCTTGGCACGTTGCAGGCTGCCCTCAGTCGCCGTGTGGGATCTGGCTTCTTTTAAGCAGCACGTTACCGCTGCACCCTTAGGTCTCACTCCCCACGTCATGAGTAAGGCAGCTGAGGCACAGAGGGCTGAGGCCGCCTCCTCCCAGGGCACCCCGCCCCCTTGGTCTCAGGAGAAGGCAGTGAGAAAATGCCAGGTGTTAGCAAACGGGCAGCTCTGCTCTACTGAGAGATGAGTGCTGGACGGTTGGCAGTCGGTGGATCCAGGTTCTAGTCTTGCTGTGACCTTAACTTGCCGTTTGACCTTGGGCTTCCCTCCCCCTCCCTGAAACCCGGTTTCTTCATCTGCATAATGATGAGGCTGGACCCAGAGTCCCATTGTCTCTTCTGGGGGCCTGTCTCTCCCAGCCCCTGCTCTGGAGACCTGCATCTTCTGGTCTTGAAAGAGAGGGTTCAGGTCTGGCAAACTCGGGTGTGTATGTTTCTGTGTGACCGTGATGCAGGGAGTGGGGCTCAGTAGTGTGAGCCTCACCCCCCGCAGAAGTGTGAAGTGACTCATTAATTAAGCGACTCCAGCCCAGCCTCATTCATTTGCTTGCTTTCCTCCTTCTCCTAACCATCCCATCCTCCTGGGGCCAGCCTCCTGGGGGTTACCTCCTGGTGGGGTGGGGAGCTCCAGGTGGGCTCCTGATTGGTGGACCCCATCCCCTGGCCCCAAAGCAGAAGCAGGTTTCCCCCTGATTGGAGGAGGAAGGGGACAAGCTGGCAGCATCCGGCTCTCAGAACTCTTGTTGCTATGGAGACCAAGAGCCAGCATGGAAAGGGCAGCTTCTCTGGAGGGATCCGAGGCGCCTCATTATCAGGACCTCCTGCCAGCTGGCTGGGATGGGGCTGGGTGGGGGTCTCAGGGTAACAGGTCTGCCTCGCTCCCCAATGCCAGGGGCTAGCGTCCACTGGCAGGTGCCCCATCTCTCCTGGAGTTCACCCAGCTGGAGGGACAGCCTTGGAGGAAGGGGCACTGGAGGGAGTGGCAGCTTTTGGGCAAGTCTCGGAACTGTACCCTCAACTCAGCGTGTCCCGGGTCACAGCTGCAGAATCTCCGAGCCATATTTGTTTCAACCCTGAGAATGTAGTTACTTTAAAAGCAGCTATTTCTTGTCATTGTCACCCTCACCTGTAACTGTGCTAGGCTGTCCCTGTCATCACCACCCTTAGCCAGCCTCAGGCAAGATCACTACTGTGTTCAGCACTGTCACTCAGGGTCAGCCCAACACTGTTACCCCGGTGCTGTTGCCTGAGCCCCTGCCCAGCCCCGTCAGCACAACCAGACCCCTTCAGTCCTGCAGCAGTCGCTGGAACCATCCCGGCTCTCCTGCCACCGTCTTCACCCCAGTAAGACTCGTTCCCTGCAAAGTCTCTTCTGTCACGATCAAACTTGCGTGGGCAATCTTGGAGGAAAAACCACATCTGGCCAGTAGCTCCACACTGAGACCTTGGGCTAGGCTCTGATCTGTAAGTGTCTCCAGAGACGTCTCTGGTGAATCCTGCCTCATAAACCGTCAGAAGCAGCAGGCTCAGTAGAGGTGGTCTACACCCATGTTTTCCCAAGGTTATCCCCGCATGCTGGCTCCTTGAGACCCTTTCCTTAAATGCAATGCAGGGATACTGCATTCTAGTCCCTGCTCGGGCAGTCATCGCATGCTAGTCCATGGAAGGAAATGACAGGTCCTGCAGCATGGAAACTGTGTGAACCTCACTTTCCCCAAACTTCTTTGACTCAGAACCCTGTTTCCACAGAATACCTGTGAACACCCCAAGGTTGTGTTTTGGGATCTATCTAATCCCCTCGTTGTCCAAAGAGAGGAGCGGAGGCTCAGAACGCTTTCCTGAAGTCACACGGTGAATTGGCACAGACCTTGGTGCCTGACTCCCGCTCCAGTGGTATCATGGTTTTCCTTCAGGGATCCTTTGTCCTCTCTGAAACCGATCATGTACTGATTAGCCTTCCTGAAGTTCCTTCCTTCCCTGCCGCAGGGGTGAATTTCGGGCGGAAGCAGGCAGGCGGGGCTTCCCTTTCTCCTGATCCATTCCTGGGGTCACTTCATGGAGCTGCATCCTGAGTTCAGGATAGTCATCCTGATCTCTCTGGCCTTCTCTCTAGGCTCTAAGCCTAGGAAGCCAGTGGACATGCCAGTTTGAGTCCCTTGGGGCCAGGATCCCAAGCAGTTGGAGGAGGTCCTCTATCTCCCAGCTCCCGCTAAAGGGAGGATGCCCCGCGGACCTCCCTGCCCACTTGAGGTTATGGAAGGAGACCTTCAGCACAGTTAAAAAAAAATCTGACACGCCCTCCCCCCCCCCCCCCCCCCGCCCGCTCGGCACATTCATCTCTCCTCCTGTGACAGCTAGATCATGACTTTCTAAGACAGGTCAGGGCTTGAGTAACTTCCTCCTGCTTCTCTGCAGGGGCCCTTGAGCCACAGAGAAGTAGTCTAATCCTGCCTTAAAGGGAGCCCCAAATCCCACAAGTGTTCTCCTTTCTATGCTAATGACTTCCCACTTCTTCCCTTCTTCTCCTCTAACCTCTTTTCCTAAACACTCTCCAATCTGGCCACCCGCCCTGTGGACGTGCTCCATACTCTCTATATCTTTCATAAAATCTGGTGCCTAGAACACGGTAACTAAGCTTCAACACTGGTGGATGAAGACATAGGTCTTAGCATCAGGGAGCTCTGGGCTGGTGACCTAGTTCCCCACCAGCAATCCTGGTACAGCCCCAGGTAGGTCCGGGTACCTCTGAGCCTCGTGGCTGAAATGGAGCTGAGATGAGCATTTGGCTCAGAGATGTTTTGCAAATGAAATCAGGGATAGTGAGTAAACCGTTCAGGACAGATCACATGTGAATGCTCCATACGCAGAACTGCTGAGATCGCCATCGTTGTCATCATCATCAAAATAGGACTGCCATTTGACTTGACCTCTATGTTAGCCAAACTAAAATCAAGGTAGCTTTCTGAGTGCCCTAGCCACCTGCTGGTCCGGTAAGTCGGTAGTCACTTACAGCCCCATCGATGGCCAGCATACAACCACATGAGCCCAGGCGGGTCTGAACTCAGGCTGTCTTTCCACTTAGCCCTGTTCAATTCCATATTCTTGACTTGGGGGTCACAGTTCCAACCTGACCTCACCCCCTTGGTCTCTCATACTGACAGCCCATCACCCCAGACCTACTGATGACTCCCAGTGACCAGGGCGATGTGGAGCTGGACGTGGACTTCGCTGCAGACCGGGGGAACTGGACAGGCAAACTGGACTTCCTGCTGTCCTGCATCGGCTACTGTGTGGGCCTGGGGAATGTCTGGCGTTTTCCCTACCGAGCCTACACCAATGGAGGAGGTACGGGCCTGAGGGCTTGTGCAGGGGTGTCAGGGTAATGGGCCAACCCTGGGGGATGGAATGAGTTTTTAGTGGCCTTGCCAATGCGACCTATGTGACCGTGGGCAGAGCTAGCTGAATGTGGTTTGTAGTGACCTGGGTGTGGGAAGAGGGAGCTCACCCTTCCCTGCCCCTTCTCATCGCTCAGGCCCCTCTTCCTCCGCTCATCCCCAGGATTGACACCCACGTGGTTTTCTCCCTAAGCTGGGCACATCCGGGGCCTTGTGTGTTGGGCAGAAAGAGCCGCCTCTGCTTCATGGTAACGGGCTGCGTCTCCCTGTCAGTGATCACCATGCTTGTAGTATTCTCCCCGCCCCCACCTCCTACAGGGCCTTGCTCCATCTTTCTACTCTTTCCTCCTTTCCTGGTTCCTTTCTTTTAGACTGCAAACTTAACGTTTTTCTTATTAAAAAAAAAAAAAAAAATCCTTCTCCATCAAGAGACTGTTCCAAGTCTCATTAACAAGAGCTAAGGTTGAGTGCTTACCCCCTGCCGGGGCCCTGAGCTTGCTGCCTTCCCTGTCATCTCATTTAACCCTGGTGACCATCCTCCCAGGAAGCGCCATGGAAATAACGGGGCAGCGGGCATAGAGAGGCCAAGTTCCTCACCCAAGGTCGCACCCCAGCAGATCCAATTTTAACCCTAGGGTGTCTCCCCGGGTCCAGTGTGTGCTCACCAACCCCCTATAGCTCCTCCCATCTCTACTAGAGTCCTCTAAAAAGCTAGAGAAATCCAGGACCAGCAGATGGCGTAATGGTTACATCGCTGGACTCCCATGTGGCTGACCGTGTTTCAAATCCTGGACCTGGCAGCTTAAAATTCATGCTGGGTGTGTGTGCATGCGTGCCCAAAATCCCAAGAGGAGAATGGAGAAGGGATTGTGGAGTGGCCGTTCCCCCAGGGAAATTTCTCACTTTCTGTCTCTCTGACTCTCTCTGTCTCTCCGGTGAGCACATGTGCCCTATAGCAAAAATCTCTCTAAAAAACAAAGAAAACAAGAGAAATCCAAACAAACCACACAAAGTAGAAAAAAGATCAGTGAAATGACCAGGAGGTGTGGGCCTACAGCTGACCTCTGAGACTCCAGACCCTTACTCAGGAGTGTCCCTAGGAGTCTCTGCTCCCCATCTCCTGTTTCCAGACTCCTGTGTGCTGAGCTCATGTGTCCTGACACAGACTTCTCCCCTGCAGTAGGGAGGGTGGGTGGCCACGACAACTCTGGAATGACTTCATCCGCAGTCAGGTTTAGCAACTCCAGAGCGTTCCAGAACTGCTCTGCCTGAATGGTCTACATAGGATTGCAGGGAGGATTTCTGATTGGCCTGGCTCAGGGGTGCTGGAGGAGGGCAGGAGGGGGCTGTCTGGTGGGACTGGCAGCCCTTCCAGAGCCATATGGTGGTAGGCAGCTCTCTAAGGAGTTGGCTGCCAATGTGAGAAGAAAAGGGGACAAGCTGTTGGGCTCATGAAACCACAGGTGACAGCCACAAGTGTCCAAGCTGGCGTGACAGGGAGCGGAGCCAGATTCACGCGGGTGTTGATTTGTGTACAGAGGCACTCGCACGCTCTTCAGTAAGGAACTCACACACACACTCCTGCATTCGTTCATTCACTGGCTCGGCCTCTGGTACTGGAGTGTCTGCCCTGAGCACAGTGCTAGCTTGGCACTGGGGTTTTGGAGGTGAGTAATTCCTGCCGGCACACCAGGTCCTCAATGATCTGGTGACAGAGAAGACAGACCAGCAGGCGGTCTCATGCAGGTCCCAATCTGCATGAGAAGTATTCCATCGGGTCTGCACGTGGTGGCTCCCAGTCAGTGGAGGGGCAGGCTGGAGCTGGGCTTGTGGGGGCTCACTAAGACCCCTCCTTTGGCCTTCCCTGCTCACAGGCGCCTTCCTCGTGCCCTACTTCCTCATGCTGGCCATCTGTGGCATCCCCCTCTTCTTCCTCGAGCTGTCCCTGGGCCAGTTCTCCAGCCTGGGACCGCTAGCTGTCTGGAAGATCAGCCCTCTCTTCAAAGGTGAGGCCTCAGCGATCCCCAGGGTGGTTGGGGCCGGGGGAGGCAGGGAAGTTGCCCCACCCCACTTCCCAGGCTCTAGGCAGAGAGAGAGGTGAAGTCCAGAAAGATAATGGCTTCCCGGAGGCCGCCGTGTAGCCAGCAGAGGGCTCGGCCAAGCACCCAGCAGCCCGTTCCCACCCGCAGGGGCCGGCGCGGCCATGCTGCTCATCGTAGGCCTGGTGGCCATCTACTACAACATGATCATCGCCTACGTCCTCTTCTACCTCTTCGCCTCCCTCACCAGCAACCTGCCCTGGGAGCACTGCGGCAACTGGTGGAACACGGACCTCTGTCTTGAGCACAGAGGCTCCAAGGACGGCAACGGGGCCCTGGCCCTCAACCTCACCAGCACCGTCAGCCCCAGCGAGGAGTACTGGAGGTCAGGCAGCTCCAGCCTGCAGCAGTCTGAGAGGGCCCTGCACCGCTGAGGGTGGGCAGAGGGCAGGAAGGTGCTGACCTCCCCAGGGGTCTCGGCGTGCACCTGGAAGGCTGAGTTCGGGTGCTCCTGTCAGGTAACCTCTGGGTTCTAATCCCAGCTCTTCACCTGGCCAGCCGTGTTACTTCCAACAATGTATTTGCCTTCCGTGGCTCTATGTTTAGAATGGGGACAATAATTGCAGAAGGTTGCTGTGAAGATTACAGGAAAGAAGACAGTAAGCTATGCAGTTCGGTCTGGTAGAGAGTACATGCTAGACAGGGACAATGACAGCAATGGCCTCATGCTGCAGTCTCAGTTTCTTCCTTTGTAAGAGAGGGTATTAACTGTGCCTGCTTCAAAGGATGATTTCCCATCCATTATTTACCCACTCATTCATTTTTTTTTTTCTTTTTAATTGTCAGAGGGCACATGTGCTCACCAGAGAGAGATAGAGGGAGAGGCACCCCCCAATGGGGCATGGTCGTGCCTCAATCCCTTCTCCATTTCTCCCTTCTGTAGGGATTTGGGGCATGCATGTACATGTGCCCGGTATGTTTTCCAAGCTGCGAGGCTGGGGTTAGAACACTCATTCAGCCGTGTGAGAGCTGGCTCCCTTAACCACTAGGCTATGGGGCCAGTCCACTTGTTCATTCTTCTGGTAAATATTTATTGAGCACTTCCTCTCACAATAGGTGCACTTAGCATAGACAGGACTGGCTCAGATCCCTCTAACAGGAGAAGTAAGAGTGCAATCAAGTAAGGAAGGGTTTGGTGCGAGGACTGACAAGGAAAGGCTGCTAGCCATCATCACAGGACAGGCACGCCGTGAGCCCTGCAAAGGGTGGGTGAAAGGGTGGGTGCTAGGACACCGTGGTGCATCAGCCCATTCCGATGCCCCACTTCCTAACTGAGAAAACAAGGCTGGAGGCTCATCCAACAATTAGCAGCAGAGGCAATACTGAAACCAAGGACTCCTGATTTTTGGTTTTGTTCTAGAACATTCTAGAGTAGCCTGGTGTCTGGGCAGGGACCATTGGTTGCCAGAGAACTTAGACCAGATACCCCCATCCCTTCGCCTGCAGAGGACTGCTCTTAGGAATTCTCCCCAAGATGAGCTTCGTGTCTTGAAATGCTTTGATCTCCAACCTGCCTTTAAAAATCCATTCAAAGTGTCTGCCACTGTGACCAGACTTGGGGCTGTAGCTTCAAGCCAGAGAACTTGACATGGTCACCAGCCACGGCCAGGGATCTCCTTGGCAACGCCACGGCCCACTGCATCCATCAGGGTGCGGGCAGGAAGCAGGTGGTGCTGTAGGAGGGCTTAGCTGAGGGGCGTTTGCAGAGGGATGGGGTCCACGAAGAGACCTGGGGTACTGGAGACTAGCAACAGGGAGAGCCTGAACCAAGACGGCAAGGAGGGCGCCTGGGGGGTTGGAGCCATGCAGGAGAGGCTGCTTGATGAGAACTGTGGCCACAGAAGTGCACAGCCAGGCCAGTTCCCTCCTTCCTCCCACCCTCCAGTCTCCTGCTGTGGCCACCCATCCGCCACATCCAGATGGAAGCCCAGGGGG